TTCCAGATTGACTCGGACCAACAATCAAACACGAACTTGGATGTTTTAACTTTAACATCTTCTCAACAGTGTTTTTTTTTATAAGTTTTATTTTTAATAAATTGTTTTAATACCGTTTAACAACAACGGAAGGTAATGTATCTCATCTCCGCATAATGTTCCTCGAATAAATAAATTTTTTGTTGTTATATCTGTGTGTTTTTATCGCTGTGGATTTCTCTCTTTTAAAAAAAAAAAATGTTTCAGATCCTCATTCCTTATTGACTATTTGATTGTATATGGTTTTTCGAATTTTTTAGGAAAAAAAAAAAAATAACATACAATTTAAAAAAAAATGTTACTGTAGAATGAAAAGTGTGCTTTTTCAAAATAAATAAAGATAGAAGAAAGTAAAGAGAAACAACACAAGAGTTTTTGCAATTTATCCATATCTTTTTTATTATTTTTTCTTTAGATTACATGTTTACATTGATAACAAACTTTCTTAAATTCATTTTGGTTTAACTGTACTCCAATAATTTCGGGTTTCAAATAATCAGTTTCATTTCTCCAAAAGTAACGTAAATCATATATCCTTTTTCCATCCTTAATACAAATATGTAGAAATATTCTTCTCCCAACATGTTCAGAATATATGCAAGATGTTTTGTTCAAATCTACTTTTGGTTCCTCTTCTTTCTGTCTTTCCACACAGTTTAAACATATGTATATTAGAATTTCTATGATACAAACACTGAGACAAATTAAGATTATTTTTTTTCGATCTTGTAACGTCCACTTCATTTTTATAGTCTTTCTATTACGACAGCAACAACTCAAATGAACCTTCTCCAAACATTTCATGAAAATTATATTAAAAAAAACACAAGAAAAATCATTTTTTTCCCTTACAATTTCTTGCAAATATGTGCTAAATATTTTAAAACCAATCGCTTGTATAACGTATTTATTACATTTTCAGAAAAATGCTTGTTTAGTATTACATCGCATTCAGATATTTTATGCATATTTCTTGAGATAAACTCTTCTGATATTTCTTGATGAATTAGCACTTGATTCCAGTCAATCGACATGATCCGAAAATCTCACGCATTTGCTCATTTTTTAATATATTTCTATGATATGTACAAAATTTAAAAAAAAATTATTCAATATGCATCAGTCAAATTTTGTTTTCCCTTCCCATTTTTTAAACATCAAAATAAATGTTTCTTTTGCAGAGCGAATACGGAAAGATTTCATGAAGATGGAAAAGGAAAAAAGCGATATTTTGTTTTCCCAACGAATGTCTACAATTAATATGCGTTTCTTTTCGTGTCAGTACACACATAAATTTGATATTTGAAATAGTTTATGTGCGTACTGGCACGCCAAGCAATGCACACATCAACACTCCATCCAAGACGAAGATATCTCCATATCGAAAAAATCTCAAAATATTCAGAGAAGAAGAATATTCAGTTAATATGCATTTCTTTTCGTGTCAGTACACACATAAATTTGATATTTGAAATAGTTTATGTGCGTACTGGCACGCCAAGCAATGCACACATCAACACTCCATCCAAGACGAAGATATCTCCATATCGAAAAAATCTTAAAATATTCAGAGAAGAAGAAGAATATTCACAGTTAATATGCATTTCTTTTCGTGTCAGTATGCACATAAATTTGATATTTGAAATAGTTTATGTGCGTACTGGCACGCCAAGCAATGCACACATCAACACTCCATCCAAGACGAAGATATCTCCATATCGAAAAAATCTCAAAATATTCAGAGAAGAAGAAGAAGAATATTCACAGTTAATATGCGTTTCTTTTCGTGTCAGTATGCACATAAATTTGATATTTGAAATAGTTTATGTGCATATTGGCACGCCAAGCAATGAACATATCAACAATTTGTCCAAAACATTCCCAAGAATCGAAAATATAAGTATGTCTTATTATGCCAATATGCTCACAAAAAAGTTGTAAACAATGTATATACACCAAAACATCATAAAAAGCATATCTTTCGTTTCATAAAAGTAGGAATCACAGAAAAAAAATATATGACATGACTAAACATTTCAAAATCATAATAATCTGAAATTATTACATATTTTAACTCAGCTCCGACAACATCAAGTTTCCTTACACACCATAGCCACCAAAGAGAGTAAAACCACACCATCGCCACTAAAGAGAGTAAAACCACCATCGCCACCATCGAGGCGATCGCCACCATAGCCACTAAAGAGAGTAAAACCACCATGGCCACTAAAGAGAGTAAAATTCTATCCAAGCATCTTTTACTATGGTTTGATTTTTCCCAACTGCGCATGGACTTTAACGCCGCGCTAATAAAGATTGACCGCCTTACAGGCTCACGCCTTCAACAGGATGGCCTACCAACGTGGAAAAAATTTTGAGAATAATTGCTCCCTGCCGGTGCTCTCCGGAACTTTCGGCGATAGAAAACGTGTGGTCCATGGTTGCTGAACGATTGACCTAGATTACATCTCAAGCTGCCACACCAGATCAACTTTGGCAACGTGTGGAAGCTGCTTGGTCTGCTGTATCCCAAGAACACATCCAAAGTCTCTTTGAGTCAATGCCGAGGCGTGTGGCAGCGGTGATCTCCAACAATGGAGGCTATTCTGGCTACTGATTCTGGAAGGAACCACACTTCTATAAATTTAATCATTTGATACTTGGTCAACATGTTACCTACTAAAATTTTGTTGTGATATCTCTTGTCTTTCTTGGTGTTGCAATTTTAGTGGCCAGCAGTGTAGTACAATCAGTGCAATATTTTCAAATAAAAGCATGAGAATAGATGTGTACATGAGCATGTATAGTTATCATTGTCCATTGTTTGGGAGAACAGAATAATAAAAAATGAGTAAAGTTTATAATTTGCAATAAGCCATAACATTTATAAATGAATTGGATTTTATTTACAAATGATTAAACGGAAATGATAGTTAAAGTTCATTGCAATTCTGTCAATTCTGTGCTAATACATGGAACTGGCGGGAAGTCATGTACTGGCCAGAGCAGAATTTTTTTTTTTTTTTTTTTGCTTTATTCTCTTAGCAAATAACTCCATAATTAGCATTCAAATAAAACTAGCATACACGTAATCACATATGTCAAGCATTCAGTATAGATTCCTAAATCAGATTATCCTGAATGCTAATTATGGAGAATTTTAAAATTATCACGAAGTTATAAGTTCCTATACACTAAGCAGGCAGCATTTGTGTGCTTTACCAATAAAATCTTCATGCTAACATTAAAGAACCTTACTTTGAATGACAGCTTAATGGAACAAAAATTAATTGCAATTTAATGTTACTGACTTAAATGATTTTCCCCCCCACTGTCATATAATAAAAATATTTCAAAATAATTTTTGCTAGTAATACCACATTGAGATTCCATTCTACATTTCTTTAGGCAGTTAAAAGCTAACTTTTTTTAGGGGAAAAATTAACAAGAGGCATTAAATGCAATGAAATAAAAATAATAGGAATCTTTTACATGTATAAAAATTTATTTACAGATAATTATTTTGCAAGATAAAATACAAATCGTACATTTCTCTTCCATACACAAACACAATCTAGAATTTTATACATTTCCAGATATATACATTTTCTCACATATAATTGAATACAAGCAACATTATTTCTAACCTTTGATAGAAAATAAGCAGTTGACATGAACTGTATTTTTATTACAAATATATATATATATACACAGTAAGCTGAAACTGAAAAATTTGCATTATACATTTAAAGATTATGTTAGTGGCTGAAATTTCTAAACTATGAAAACCCAGAGTGGTAATTCTGTTTGGGCCACATGTTGAACTCATTGTATAATATTTAAATAATTTTATATAAGAAAATGTTTCTAAGGTATAAAATTTTTACAAAAGAAATATTATATATCAGCATATACAAAAAAATCTTTTTTACAAAATGTCTTAATGAAGCTCTTTATAACAATGTTTTTCTGTATTTGTGAATAAAATATTTCAGTAAAGTATATTAATAGTGTCATGTTTTTAAAAGAAAATCATCAGAAATGAATTGCTACACTAAATTGCTTTAAAAAATAAATACAAAAACTTCAAAAATATGTACATCTTAATTATGAAGTAACAATGAAAAATCTCAGTTTTTAAGATAAATTAATATGAAACAAGCAAATTTGTATTTAATTTTTTTCTTACGCATGAAAAAACATGCATATGTCAACTTGCACAATGGCCCTTCATACTTTATATTATAGTAGAAGTCTATGCAATTAGAAATATGTGCCAAAGAATCTACAGTATCAAAGTAGCATAAAAATAACAAAGATAAAAGTGAATCTCAAAGGTTAAAAATAATCTAGAATAAATAATTTATTTACATTTTTTATCCTGATTATATAATTCTAAAATAAAACACACAGTAAAAGTAATATTTTAACACATAAATTAAAAAAGATTTAATTTAAGCAGCAGTATTTCAAAGTTTGAATTTGCACAGACTCAATAAATGCAATTTCAAAATATTTTAAAAACATAAATCAGCTGATAGTAATATTTATTCAACATCAAATTTCTGGAATTCTTATTTTTTACACTTGCATCAAAAGCAATGCAGCAAAAACACTACAAACAAACTCAGCAGAATATTATTTTATTTTAAATAACACACAAGAACAAAAAAGTTACAAGTTCTATTAATACTTAATTATTTTTTTTCCTGGGGAAGATTTATATGTTTTTTTCAACAAATTAAGAAAAATTTAATTTTTAAGATCCAAAAATAATCAGAATAAATTAGTAAGATCTAAGTAATGACAATTTAAAAGAAAGAAAACTTGAGAGAAAATTTAAATTAAATATCAGAACTATACGTAATGTTTTACAATTTCATATAAATATTCCTTTTTCTTTTGAGGTAATAATATGCATGGCTTGATTTAAGAACAAAAAATTTTCTTACAAAAAAAAAAAAAAAAAATTCCCTGCCATTTTATTTATATAAAAATGTAGCTTACTTGAAAAATGCATAAATTTTAAGAATCTCTTTGGGGAAAACATTAAATTCTTAATATTAATTATTATATATTAATAACCATTCTCTACAGTAAATGCAACAGTATAATTAAATAGCATGGATTTTCTTTTCATAGATACTGTGCAATTCAAAAGTAGCTGAACTCTTAATCTTAAAAGGTCACATCTTTATTTTACCATTCATTTATTTTGTTTTAGGTGTAGAGTACTAACGTAAAGGATTACTGAATTAGAATAAGAATGAACAAAATGTATCCCTTTATAAAAGATGCAGGAAATTACCATAATGTTTTGTAATATACAAATCTATATCAACACGTTTCTCAGCATTTTGTTTGAAATGCTGACTGGGATATTACAAATGCCCATTTAAGAGGATATTATGCAAATTACTCAACTTCTAGCATGCTTATAACAAGCAAACCTCTGTTCATGCATGAAACTTTTCACATAGTGATAATCCTTTCTTACCTATTTCCCAAATCCTACACTTGATATTCTAATAATAACTGCACATAATGCACATGGGTACTTCAGTGATCAACATTTCCCCCAAATTTAGCAATCCTTGTGAATGTTTTCTGTTGTTAGAGTACATAACATTTACAATGAGAGTCTAGAGACTTTTGAATTGCACAATGCATAAAAAATGCACAGATTTTTAATCTGAACATCTTATAAGTGTGAAACAATGAAAAGTGTTTTTTTTAGCACATATTGTATCTTAGCATAATAGCTGAAAGCACCATAGCTCACAGATAACAAGGAACCAATCTAAATATACATCAGATCTACTAATTTGAACTATCTTATATAAAATTATGTTTTTACATTATCACTAGTCATTTACTGAAATACTGTATGCCAAGGCCATATCAAGCTTACCGTGTAACTGAATGTAATTAAATCTATAGGCTAAGTTGAAATAGTATTATGCTTGTACAATACTTGAAAATAATCTGGCAAAAATTTTACCAAAATTGAAATCATAAAGCATTGGCAACAAAGATATAAACTGAAATTTTTTACATGTACAATAATGTACAATAATGTTTGAATCTTGTTATAATTATGCAAAATGAGGGGAAAAAAAAAGATTAAAAATTAAAGCAAATTGCAGACTGTCATAAGATTGATAATGAGATCCCATGTACAATTGAAATAAATAGCAAAAATGGCATTCTTTTTTTTTTTTTTAATTAGAATTCAGAAGGTTCAAATGATGAAAAATGTGCAGTTTTTAGGATTAATGAGATTCAAATGTTCCAGAATATTTTGATTCCTTTTAGAAATACAGTGGCTCACGTTTATTTTTGCACACTTGTATTTTATATGTATAGATCTTGTATTAGATATTAAAACTTAGCCTCCAAATTGTTTTCTCAATATATATTTTCTCTTTTTTTAAGACTGACTTGTCAGAAAATAAATATCATTAAAATATGTTTTGCAATAAAACAATTTATTCCAAAAGTATTAATCAATCAGGACAAAACACTTTAAAATTTCTACAGCCTTCAATTGAGGACACTCTAAAGTTTTATTGAGATGTTCTGAAAGATGATGTTTCTTATCCTACTTTATTTAAAATGAAAATAAATCACAAGAATTATTGTCTGCATTTGGAAATTATGAATTACTTAGCAAACCATATTAACAGTTCCATACTGAAAGTGAACATAGTAGGATACTATAAAATAATGCAAATTCTGTTCAAAATTTAATTATTTATAATTTTAAGGATGATAAAACTATTAAAAATATTCTTGATGAAAGCATTCAACTCCCTTTAATGTATTAAAATGACTGAAATTGCATGGAACTCTTTAAAATGCATTGAAATCTGGACCACATTCCAATAAAGCTCAAAAGTTAGTGCTGTAAAACTTGCAGGAGATTTAGAAGAATGGCTAGCAATAAAAGTTAATCCTGAAATTTTTTGATGAGTTTTTAGGGCACATTGATATAATGGGTGATCAGTAAGAAGAAAGCGTTTCCACAAAGAAGCAATGAAAATTGACCTGACATACACAAAGTCCGCAGTAAGCAAAGATTTATCATATTGAACACATATTTGCAAAATAAGTCAAAATTTAATATAGTTGGGTCCAATGGATGAATTGCAAGTCAAATGAGGAAGTGAATTCTTGAAAGCTATGTTCAACTGTTAAGCATGAAGGTGAAAGCATAATGGGTTGGTTATGTGTTTCTGCCTCAGGGTAGGAAATTCACTTTTTATAGAAAATAATACAGATCAGTATAAATATATAAATATTATTAATGAAGCATCTGCATATAAACTTCGAATGCAAAATACATTTAACTTCTATCAGGATAATGATCCTAAACATACAGCCTTTTAAATGTCCACTTGTGGTTATTATTATATAACTGTTATTTCATTCATATTCTTTGAAGTCATATTCTTCTATACTATTCATATTCTTTGAGCTTAAATACTATAGAACATGTATGGAGTGGGTTAGAAAACATAAATAAACATGATATTTTTTTTGAAAGCTCTAATTAAAGCAATTTTTGTGGAGGGAGGGGGGAAAACTGAATATTGTTATTTGAAAAATTTCATTAAATCCAAACCAAAGCGTATGAATAGTGTAATTTTAACTTAAAGCTATCTAATGATGATTAATGATGGCTGTCCTGTTATTTTCATTCTTTTATTAAATTTAAGCTGCTCATTTGAAGTGTTTGGATACTTGTGTAAGTTCATTTTCAGAATTTTTTGAGTAATTTTTTTAAACCAAAAACATTTTGAATAATTTTTTTTTTAAAAGCAGGTTTTAAAAAAAGATTGTCAATAATATACATGAGAGAAAACAAGTTAATTCACTAAAATTTGGTACTCATATTTGGAAATAAAACTTAAAAAGCACAGATGTCCAAGAACAAATGTGAGCCACTCAATGCTCTTGATAAAATTAAGTAAAACTGAATTATCTCAGAAACTAATAATTTTAGCCACAGTGAACAAAATATTTAAAATTTTTAAAGAAACAAATTATCCAATTACAATTATCAATGATCATAATGATAGGTATTCTTCCTAAAGACAGATACTATTAGAAAGTTGAAAAGTGAAAATTATATAAAGTACTGTAATATAATATAATTTTTAAGTAAGATAGAAATAATGTTTATTAAGTTCATAAGCAAGCACAAAGCTTATTGTGATATCAGTAATTAAAAAAAGTTTGCTATAAATAAAGTGAGAATCAGAAAATATCTTTAATTTAATTTAGCGTATAACAATCATAAGCATTCTAGTACAATCTTCAGAAAATTTCAGGAACATCAGCACTATTCTTTCTGTTATTACATAGCTTTATGTTCTCTATTTAATTGTAAATACATATTTGTTGAGTTATATATTTTGAATTATAAATTAAAATCACAACAGCTACATGCAGATGGAAACACAGAGATGTCCACTACATTCAGCTACAATCTATACTTAGTTATAAAGCAAGCATTTCAGACTTCCTGTCATAGAAAATTCAATAAAATGATACACAACAAATTAATTACAAATCAGTACCACAGTTTATAATAACAGATGGTAAATGACAGAGATGATGCTCGTATCAGATGAAAATGATATCCCCCCTCCCAATAAACAGTTTTCTTTCAGACCTATCTTTCAGGATCAGATGATGAGGGCTGAAAATAAGCAGCATCTTCTTTAGAAATGTCAGAATAGCAATGGTCTAAGAAATCATCCATTGTCTGATAAAGATGTAGCTTTACATGGCCCAGTGCATGGTTTTCATCTGGATAAACCTATAAATGTACAATTTTGAACATTACTACAGTTATTAATATAATTAGTTAGAGCTCTAATAATTACAATACTGCTCTGTATGCACTATGAAAAAGAACAAGTACTGCTCACATACAGCACATGTTATTTCAATACCTATCCTACCTTACAGTAAATAGATTCTTTCTTCCAACAATATGCATATATGTAAATGCCATGACAAGAAGAACAAAATATCAGGCAAATTTATGGTCCATCAATGGCAGCCCTGATGTTATCAAGGTAGAAACAACAAGGTGGGAAAAAATTTAATATGTCTGTGGTTGTACAGTATGACAATGTCATCAAAATCTTCATCAAACATGCAAGAAATCTGCATTGCCTTACACAATGAAGGCAAGCCAGGTAAAAAAAGCCTTCAATAAGAGATGGTAAAATGTGGCACACAGGTCTCAGTTTGGCTGTCAGAGTGTCAGTGAAGAGGAGGCGAAAGTTCTTCGCAGTTTGCTGGAAATGAATCAAAACCAAACAATTTGTCAACTTACCTGAAAGACAAGGTTATCACATAAGAATGCACTTCATAGTCTGAAGGAATGAGTGAATTACTTTGTGAAACATTCTACTCCATTACATGAAAATAGAGAAATAGCTATGATATGATACTGCTCAATACTAAAAGCACAAATAAGACACTTTCTTATGCATATCATTATGTTGAATAAAATATGTGTCAGTCAGATCATACTAGCCAAAACTGAGAAGGCAGCTAAAGGAATGGCATCATTACCATTATCTTGACAATCAAAATTTTGTATGAATCACAGCATTGTGAAAGTTATTGATATTCTCAGGTATGATTGTAATGATTTTATCTTAATACATATTGTACCTCAAAGATGGGTTATCAGTGTGCAATATTACTGTTCATTTTTTGGGACATAACATGCAACTAGTACTGAAAAAGAAATGGTGATACTATAGGCAGAATCCTTCTACTATCATTTTGCAGACAATGCTTAGATGCATGCAGGGTAACTTGTGGCTGATTTCTTCATTCAGTGCAATTGGTAACTGTTCCTAAGATTCATCAATTCTCGCGACTTAAACAGCTGTCACTATGATTTAATTCATTTCCAAATTGTTTTAGAGATCCAGCAGGCAACAGACCACTCCATTCGAACTAGCATAAGATTACTATGATTTTCCAGTTGTTGGCAGTGAAATTGTATACAATGCTGATGTCTAAATTGAAAGACAGTATGAAGTTTCAGAAAAGTATCACTTTTGTATTAGTTGTAAACAGGTAGTTGCAACTATTAAAGTTCTAACCTTTGTATACGTTTAACCAACATTACAATCACTAAGAACTGATGTACACTATATTGTCATTAATGACCAGACACCTGTATGAAATTGCTTAGCTGCAGCTGGTAAGGTGTTAGTACAATGAAACTCCACTATTCGTTATTAACACAACTACTGTGTAAGCAAGATTTTCTACTAAGTTCGGTACATGTCTAGAGGTATTTTCTTCCATTCCTCCTTAACATGGTGAACAATTCTGTGGTGGTTTGGTTTAGACTTCAGCTGGTCCTCATTTGAGGGATGCTCAAGTAAGTTGAAACCAGGGTTACTAAATGAACTGCAGCATTTTATTTCTTAGACTTTCTTTTTTTTTGTCTGTTAGTGATACTGAGATCAAGGGGTCAATCAAAGAAGAAGAATTTTAGAATCAAAGAAATATGGATTTTATATTTCTTAAAAAACATTCTGGAATCGTGCATGATTATTTAAAAATAACAGAAGAAACTTTGTATTATTTTTGGAACAGAAAGAAAATAAAAATACAACAGAGGGAAACTTATTTTCTTACAGTTCCAGAAAGAATATAAATTTATGGATTGAATTTTAAAAAGTTTCATCTGTTATTGATATATAATTTACTGCAGCTTTTAGTATATTTAGTTGAGCTTTTATATGAATTTATTAATTTTTCATTTTTAGTGTATTACTTTAAAGTATTATATTTACCTGCATACGGAATATAACCCCAGCATCAGTTAAAGCTTTTGCAAGCATCATTGACTGCTGCCAGTGAACATTATCTATTAAGGAAATAAATAAAAAATATGATGAATTAAAAAATTAATTACAAAATTAAAAACCATCTATTTTAGATTTTGACTTAAAACTTTTCCTAGCTAAAGTACATAAGTAATATCTATAGACTATAAATGTGTGTCTAAAAACCATATCAGCCAGCATTTTCTGTGAGCAGTCAAAAAGCAAATAAAATACTCATGCATAATCTGAAACTTGGAAATCACTTTGTGATGGTAAATCATTTAAAACTTTACAGGGTGAAAATGAAATACTAACCAAGTCTTTTAACATAATTTAAATAAATCCTAATTTCAAATGACACTAAAACAGCATAAGAGCTTGTCACCTATCAGCAAATTGCCAGTGCAAAAATATCTGTATTTTATACATGTAAAATATTGCAACTATGCATTTAATGAAAATGTAAGTGTTATTACACATTCTGAAAAAGCAATTACATCCATGAAATATTTAATCAAAACTGTCTGTAAAAAGGAAAATAATATATCATTTAAAAGTATTCTTTTTTTTTTTTTTTTTTTTTGAAAAGTTTAGGGCATTAAGACCAAACTCCTGTCTGCTTCAAGGGTTAAATGAATGAATAGCTTAACTGCATAAGTATGTTTATAGTTTAAAATAGTCTAAGAATAAAAAAACTGTAATATTTTGCGCATTTAAGATTTGATTCATACCATCAGCACTGCCATGAATAAGAAGATATTTCTTTCCTTTAAAATTAGCAGCTTTCTTCATTACATCCGAATTTTCATAATTTTTAAGATTATCCTGAGGTCGTTGCATGTATCTTTCAGTATATACAGAATCTGTAATAAATTGTATATATTTGAACAAATTAAATTTCACAGCTATTCTCAGTAGATTTCTTTTAATTCTAAAGCATTTGAACTGTTAAAATAAGTTTTAAGAATGAAATAAATTACAACTACATTACTATTATTACAAGCTTTAAAAATATTTTAAAATTAAAATCATGCTTTTTTCTAAATAAAAATTTTAAAATAAATAATATCCTACCATAATAACGCCAACTTGTTACTGGAGCAACCGAAATTCCACAGTTAAAAACTTTTTCATCATTTGCTAAAGATAAAGCAGAGGCATAACCACCATAAGACCAACCAAATATAGCTACACGTTTGCTATCAATATACTGGAAAGTTTCCTTTAAGTAACTGTAATATAGAAAGGAGGAAAACAAATATTAATATGGAATGCAGCTGTAAATAATCTATTGATTATATGAAAAAGGTACAGTGAGTTAAATAAATAATAGGGAAGGAGGTAATCCTTCTGCAATCAAATTCTCTAATAGTCATAAATACTAAATCATCAGTATCAAAAAAATAAATGAATGTGTTTCAACATGACAAGTTAAAAAATATTTTAACATTTAAGAAACTGATGCTTACAGTTAAAAACAAATGATATGAAGTAGAATGCTTTTCTTTTCATTATTTGCTAAACATATAATTTTCAATTTAAAATCTAAAATTAAAATATCATGGATTATATGAAATAATCTTATTTGTAAATTCCATATAAACCATATATATATTATTTACACACATAAGTACAGAGCTACTAGATATGAAATATACATTTTCAATGTAGCACTGAAATGAAAACAAAAACTCTGATATACTCCCATATGAAGAAATCGCAGATATCAAACCTGGAATTCAAAGAGGTCAATGTGTGTCAGTGCCATGTTCTCATATCATGTTAATTGGACAATCCAAGGTCAATGTGGATTTTTCATCAACATAATACTGAAACTCATCACAAAAAAGTACCAGGAAAGCATTTTCATCATCTTTTGATGATACTATTTAAATAGTATGCCCATGGTATTGGCTTTATATAATGCTGAAAGCATCTGTTTCTTTAATAGAAAACCCACATAATCTTTATAACATAAGCATATTATATACATTAATCTAAATTAAGTTGAATTCAAAAAGTATTGTAGGTGTGAATAATTAAATATAAAAATTGCATTAAAAATGTGTCAAAATGTTTAAGAATAAACAAAAATTTTTAAAAAAAGTTGTAAAGAAAAGAATCTTTTTACCTAAAAATTGCATTAAAATTTTAGTAAATTTAATTTAATAAATTTTTAATAAATTTAAATACTTTCCCCAATTAAAAAATTATAAATTTTTTATGACCTTCAAATACAACAGTTAGCAAATGCATAACAATGAAGCATAAAAATGCATAACATATGATCTATTCAATGCATTTGCAATAACTTTTTTTTTTTTTTTTTTTTTTAGTTTTATGGATATACACTACAACCATTTAATCAAATGCTACCTAGATATTTATCACAATCAGGATGTTTAATATGAAAATTTTTTGGATCCATTCAAATAACAAGAAATCAATAATAAAAATACTTTTATTTCTGACAATTTTGCACAATAAATACTTTTAACATCCTTTCTAAAATTATTCTTAAATAAAAGGCTTTTGTTTTTTAAAAATTAAAAACAGTTATTTTTCTGTGCAAGAACATTCTAAAATATTCATCTATATTTAATTAATTTTAAGTAAACAAAATTGCTTGAATAAGAAAACTTAATATATGTCAACATTAAGTTAAACGATTTTGGCTTTATTTGAACTATCATACCACCATAAATACTGAAACTGAACTTTTGACAATTTTAGGCTTATTATATTAAAAGTACAATTTTAAGAAATTCGAAATTCAACAAAAAAGACGCTTTCTTATGAAAAAACACTATCCCATACTTCTTTTAATATCACTTAGTAAAATTTCATAGAAATCTTGTTTCTAACCCACCAGTGGCCAAGATAACTGAACAGTGGTAGTTTGACCTAGGTTCAAATCCCAGCAAATGAGCTAGTTGCGCAGAAGTTTTCAAGTTTTCCATTTGGGTAATGTGGATACAAGCCAGTTTATCTTACAAAGTCTTCCATAATGAGGCATCCCTCCTCACACATAGCTAGGTCTCGAGTTCCTTTGCATTAATGAATTAATCCACAATCCTATTAAATTCTGTTTTATCTTCAGCAACACATTATCTTACCAACACTTTTTTGCACATTTATAAGCAAATTTCATGCAGATATTAATAACATATTTGGTTAGAATGAATTAGGTCACTTTTCCAAGTCTGTTACTAATGTAGTTCTAGAGAAGAAATTTAAGATAGATCCTACAAAAGAAAAGTTGCCTGGCAATAATGAATTTGTTTTGGATACAACAGCATTGTTATTAATGTTGAAAAACTAACTGACACATGTAGCGAAAATGAAATTAAAATTGAGATAAAATACTCTAGGTTGGTATGTTGGAAATATGTTTTAACATATATAAAAGTACAGAAACTTGATGATCTACCTGCTTCATCAGCTGGAACTGAAACAGGTCATTTGATCAAGTTCATAGTCTTTTATTGGTTTCTGCACTCAGAAACAATATCCAGTTGTAAGGCAGGTTAAAAGGAAGGTTTCTATTACAACACAGTTTTTAGGTGATTTCAAGTGCTTTTCTAATTTTGAGCCTACTTTTATGTCAAGGTTTTGGTGATGATTTTGGCCTTGTCCCATTCAATTCTTGAATGCAGATGCTTGGAGAAGTATTTCACCAAAAAATGCACTATTTTCATTGTTGAACAGGTTACTAGAGAGTTTGTAAATATCTTTTTTATGTTTGGCAATTCTTATTGATAGGTTTTTAGATGCTGACCTGATATATTGAGTTCTTGTGGTTGTATTTTCATTGCTAATCAGAACAGTATATGCATTTGAAGTACTTGTTGTGGTACATCCAATTTATTTCACTAGATATGACCAATTTCCAGATGGATGGAGCAGAGACAATGACAAGTTTATAACCAAATCTTGTAAACATGGAACAGATGCATGGGGTGATTGAGTAGTAGGGTAAATTTCTAAAAAATTTACTTTTACTTGATCGAGTCAATATTGTCAAAAGTTCAGTTTCATTATTTATGGTGGTAAGATAGTTCAAATAAAGCCCAAATTGTTTAACTTGTTGTTGAATCACAATATTATGCCAGCGGTAACTTTATTCAAGTTCCCAATTCATGTTAAACTTCCATTCCATCCTTTAAATCATATGCTGAACTGAAGGCACACTACACAGCATATATTTATACAAAATACACACAGTATGAAATTTCAGACATGCAAAAACTATTCTTATGGAATGTTTCCCTTCTCAGTTACTAAATTATTATTATAGAATGTTTGCTATTTCTCTATTGATGATCCCCTTATGAAAATTATCCAATAAAAGACATGCCTCAGATTGCCTAAATATTTCATAATTAGTTAAATAATGCTTAATTATTAGCAAATAATGTCTAAATATTTTGCTCAATATTTATTTCAGATTGTTTCAAAATTCGTTCCTCTTAGTTATGACAGAGTTACTTCTAAAAGGACATGGTATTTTTATTGAATTTATTATAACTGCAATTTAATGGTTAAATATGACTGTTTAAACAACTAACTCATACTTGTATATGTTTGATAAATTTAGATTTGAAATGACTTGATAATATACCAAAAATTATCTCTATTATTAGGAAATATAGTTGATACATATTTCTTTACAATCACTCTAAATTATTCAAAATTCATACCTAAATTAAGTTATTAGAAGAAGATTCACAGAAACTATATCCAAAAGTGAGATTACCTTGTAACTGAAATTTGATCAAAAACTTCATCAGTACCAAGCCTACCATAAAGTTCATGTAAAATTTTGTCACCTTGGTAACCACTCCCTCTTCCATCAATCCATGTGTAAATGACATTCTTTTTACTAGCTAAATAAGAGCCCCAGTTCACACTAAATTTCTCAGTAATCATCTGGCTTCCAGGTCCACCATAGCTAAAATATACAAAATTTCAAAGGTTATTTACTTCAGATGGTAAAATTCACAAAGGAAAGAAAATTCAGTGCTTTTTTATTAAAGCCATATCACTTGCAGCTTTTCTTATTTTGCCATATTTTCTTAGCATGAGAAGATACAAGTTTGAATTGGCTTGTACCTTAGAAATAAATGCTTTATGAACACATTTTTTTATTATTACAATGGATTTCAAAATTTGGGATTTTCCACGAGATGAAGAAGCAGCAATCCCATTTCTTCATAAAACAGATGTTCTTCAGAAAGACAGACTATTTGAATAACCTCATGATTTTAAAACGTGACTCAAAGCCAAAATGATCCTGCAGCCTTCTCTCATGTTGAGGGACGAATTCCAAAATTCAAGCATGGTATGGTTTGCTGGATGATGTATTGCTTTTGTTATTGCCATATGATTCATTTACTTATGATTTCAAGAGTTAACATCTACCGAGTTTTGTGAACTAAAGCTTGTTTCAAATGAATTACAACACAATGATTGATTGGAATAATTACATAAATCACAGTTCATCCAAACTTAGATAAATTGAGGCTACAAAATTGTGAAAAGCTGATGAAAACGTATTCACAAAAAGAATATACAGGGTGATTCAAAACTTATTGTTAAAATTTCGTGGGGAGGTAGGGAAGATGTCAGGAAACTGATTTCACATAGAAGAGTACGTCTGCAAATGTACGCGAGGGTGCTGTGGGTACCCAATCAGTGTACAGCTCACGCAACTACTCTTCCTGTCATCAGTTACGAGCTGACTTACTAGTCATAAGATGAATCGTTTTATGTATCAAGAGCTAGTGGATATGCATCTCGCATATGGAGCAGCTGCTGAAAGCAGCCACTGAGTAGGCAAGTTTACAAAGACTGATACCCAACAGAAGAATACCACAGCATCAAATGTTTGCACATGTGCATCGCAATCTTTGCAAACGTGGTTCACTGCGCAGCAACATGCAGGATGTGGAGAGAAGATGCTTGATGTGGATTGTCAACGTTGCAGAACAAGTCCTACAGTTCATTAAAGATAATCTGAATATCAGCACACAAGCTATTGCTCAGCAGCTTGGGGTTTCAGCAGTGTGGCAGATACTGCAAGAGGAATGTGTGCATCCTTACCATCTGCAAAGGGTGCAGTTACTGCATCCTAATGATTATCCGAAGAGTGTGGAATTTTCACAATGGTTCATGCAGAAAGGTGTCATGGACCCCAGTTTTCCAGCTTCTGTTCTTTTTACAGATAAAGCTTCATTAACTTGTGTTCAATACTCACAATTCACAAGTATAAGTGTGGGCTTACGGAAACCTGTATAGTACCAGAAGTCACACTGCAGAACATAGTTTTGCCATAAATGTGTAGGATGTAATCATTGGTGACTGTTTGTTGGAACCTTACTTGCTACTGCCCTGATTGGATGGCCGGGAATACTTAATCTTTCTCAAGACAGCGTTACAAACTTTTCTGGGCACTGTTCCAGTGCATATCTGCCAAGATATCTGGTATCAACATGATGGGGCTCCAGCCCATAGCACAATTGTTGTGCATGATTACCTGAACTGAATATTCGGAGCTCGATGGATCGGCAGAGGTGGACCGATCGCTTGACCACCCAGGTCACCTGATTTATTGTTCATGGATTTCTTTTTGTGGGGAGCAATGAGAGACCCCCTGTCGACAGTGAAATGGGCTTTGTCGCATGAATAATGGCTGCTGCAGGAATTGTCTGTTAATTGGAAATGGAATTGTCAGGCGTTTTTGAAAATGTTCGGTGGTTAATGCAACCGTGGAAATTATTTTGACTATTTAATAGATGGCGCTAGCATTTCGTGTTAAACACGACCTGTTTTTTGTCTTTTCAGAGACCCTCCACCAGCAAGTCGGTAAATAGATAGATACTTTGAACACTAGTTGATTAGGAATACTTCGGTTCCAATTAAGATTCAATTTTCCCGATTGTGAAAGTATATAGATCTCATTTGATCAATGCAATACTGAACCACTGAATGCTTTAATCAATGATCTTTATATATATAAATATTAAACTTTACACTTTTAAAAATTATTCGATGTCGATTTCTCTCAACTTTTGAATTTTGAAACAGCAACGGCACTAGGAATCCTGTGTTTGTGTAAATGGTCGCAATTTTGAGCACCTACTGTGGCTTACAGCCAAAAACATCGCGGCAAAAACATCGCAGACGAAAACATCGCGGAGAAAACAACGCAAGGCGAAAACGTCGTGCTACAAAACATCGTGGGAGAAAACATCGTAAAGAGGAAACATCACAGTTCTAAAACATCGTAGTACAAAACATCGTCGTCGAAAATAAAGCGGTTCAAAAACTTTAAAAACATCGTTGTCGAAAATATCGTGGTAAAAAATTAAGTATCTACAAATCATCGCATGACGATAACATCGCAGACATGCTTTTTTCAGACATATTTTAATAACTTTAAATGGATATTCCCATAATGATTTGTGAGCGCAAGATGGAAAGAAGGATAATTTTTACTTTCATATTTTTATTAATTAATAAATTTTTGCTGAGAAAATAAAAAGGAAACTTAAGCATAGAAAATGAATGCAACTTATAGCACTTAATAGAATTTTAAACCGACATAGTTAACTAACAAAGGCGCCATTAATAAATCATTTTTTTATAAAGTTTTTACTTTTAATATTTCATGAAAAGTATAATCTATAAGTTACATTTAATTTTCTATGTTTAAGTTTCCATCTTACTTCAGCAAAAATTTATTAGTTAATAAAAAAATGTGAAAGTAAAAATTATCCTTCTTTACACCTTGCGCTCACAAATCATTATGGGAATATCCATTTACAATTATTAAAACCTGAAAAACGCATGTCTGCGATGTTATCGTCATGCGATGATTTGTAGATACTTTATTTTTACCACGGTATTTTCGACGATGATGTTTTTAAACTGCGAAGTTTTTGAACCACTTTATTTTCGATGACGATGTTTTGTACCACGATGTTTTAGAACTGCGATGTTTCTCTTTGCGATGTTTTGTAGCACGACGTTTTCGCCTTGCGTTGTTTTCTCTGCGACGTTTTCGTCGGCGATGTTTTCGGCGGACACCCCTACTGTGAACCTGGTACTCTACTCTTGTTGAATAAAGGTCACATTCATTACCACTTAACTGTACTGTTTCTTGGTGTTAACTTTACTTGTCCATTTTATTCACATAGATGATGTTTGCGAACATATTTTCCTATGTGAAATCGGTTTCCTGACACCTTCCATTACCTCCCCTCGAAATATGAATGATAAGTTTTGAATCACTTGTATATATATATAGATACACACATACGATATTTACTCAGATATTTCCCCCTTTTTCCTAATAATTTTATCACCTGATAATCGGAAGGGCAGAAATATAAGATGTATACTGTTTCTGAAGAAACAGCTTAAATGATACACACAGCACATGAAAAAGCACACAAAGACATACTAACATTTCTATATTATGTATTTCAAAGAACTTATCAATTTCAATGCATGTATTTTACATTTTTTTTAACAGATTAGAAGTTTCTAAATCATATGCTGAAAAAAAAATTGCCACCCAGATGGTATAGTGGTTAGGGGAGCCAACTACGGTACAGAAGGGTCCAGGTAGAATCCCGGAAAAGGCATGGGTGTAACCCTCTATCTCTTCATAAGCAGTAATGATGGCCGTCTACTAGTGCCTTCACAATAAAAGGCCACCACTTCCGGCCTTAAGAATGGTTAATGTTGAAAAAAGAGAAAAATGTGCCTGCTTTAACAAACATTCTCTATTCATAAAAACAAATTTAATGAAATTTAATGCAAACAAGTAAATGATTAATTATTGCTGCGAACTAATCTACAATATCATTTAAATTCTGAGAGCATATATAAATCAAGTGCAAGTATCAAAATCCATGAATAAATATATAATTAGAAAAATTTTTTTAATCCTAAAAACTTTATAAAATACATAAGTGAATAATGGTTGAGCAGGCAGGAGACAGACTTATCAAGGGGAAGTTGCCTCCAAACCTAACTCTACACTTATTCAATTTGTGTTTCATCATCTATGCAGACAAGGGTCAAAGTCAAAACCAAAAGTAAAACCAAATGTTGTGAATTACTAAAAAGAAATTTAAACAAGTGGAATTTTGAGAAATTAGCAAGTAAAAAACTAGAATTAAAATTTAAAAAAGGTCAATTAAGAGTAAAAAACCAAAGTAATTTAGAAACTCTTGCCTACAGAAAACTTCCCCGACATAATTTATGCATATAAATCAAAAAGAAACTAGATATTATCTATAAAAATCACATAAAAAATACTAAATTATAGCAAATGGTACAAATAATTATAAAAAGAATATAGATTACATATTTGCAATTAAACTTTAAAAAAAATCTGTATTTTAATTCATCAACTAGTTAACAAGCAACACAACTATAGTTGGATTATTTATAATAATGCTCCAGTTCTCAACAAATTTAAAAGTTTAGAAATCAAGAGCATTAACTGCTATGACTTTGAAAACCTTTATACTTCTCTACAAATTTTTACTAGTTTAATGCAACTCCCACAACTTTTTCCTCACATGCTTAACATCCTTTAAATTGAAAGATGGAAATCTTACCTGAATTGTGCATTATTTAATATGTGCATTATTTAATAACTACATTAAATTCAATAATAAGATCTTTCAGCAGGTGAGAGGTATACAAATGGGAGCAAACAATTTTAGACAAATATGTAACTTATTTCTTTTTGCTTATGAATATAAATTCCAACTAAGTTTGAATACAAATGAAAAAAAGTTATTTGCAAATACATTTAGATACATTGATGATATTATAACTTTCAATAATAATTCTGCTTTTGAACAATTCAAAATTTGCCCAAATAGTTTAACACTTAATAAAACTAATATGAATCAAGATACTATTGAATACCTA